CCCTCCCCCGCCAGGGGGACAATGAACCCTAAAGGGGTTCGGGGACAATGGGGACAATGAACCCTAAAGGGATTTAGGGGACAATGAACCCTAAAGGGATTTTGGGACACTGAACCCTAAAGGGATTTTGGGACAATGAACCCTAAAGGGATTTTGGGACACTGAACCCTAAAGGGATTTTGGGACAATGAACCCTAAAGGGATTTTGGGGACAATGAACCCCAGAGGGGTTCGGGGACAATGGGGACACGGCCCTAAAGGGGTTTTGGGGTTCCCAAATTGAGGGGAGGGATGTCCCCAAACCGGGGGGGAGGTGACGCGGTGTCCACGGGGACATCCCCGAATTCCTCTGGGAAGAGGCGGCCGAGCAATCCCGGGAATTTTATCCCAAACCCAGCAGAAATTCCCTGATTTTTTTTTATCCCAAACCCAGGAACGATTCCCTGACTTTTATCCCAAATCCAGGGGGATTTTCCCCAAGGAAAAGCCCCCACGGGACATCCCTGATCCCACGCAGCAGGAACGGGATTTTCCAGAGGGATGGAGAGGCAGGGAAGGACGGGAAGGGCTGGAAATAAGGGGAAAAAAAATCGGGAATGGGAGAAAAAAATTGGGAATGGGAGAAAAAATCGGGAACGGTGCCGGAAAAGCCTCGGAGCAGCGAGGACAAAGGGCGGGAATTCCCAATCTGTCAGGGCTGGAATCTCAATGAGAGCCGAGAGTTCCCATTGTGAGGGGACAATGGGACCAGATGGGCCGGGCCCCAAAGGGGTTTGGGATCGGCTGGAGGGGGGAAGCCACCCTAAAGGGGCTTGGGAATGGGGAAACTGAGCCTAAAAGGGTTGGGAATGGGAAAACTGAGCCTAAAAGGGTTTGGGAATGGGAAAACTGAGCCTAAAGGGGATTGGGAATGGGAAAACTGAGCCTAAAGGGGCTTGGGAATGGGGAAACTGAGCCTAAAGGGGATTGGGAATAGAAAAACTGAGCCTAAAGGGGTTTGGGAATGGGAAAAACTGAGCCTAAAAGGGATTGGGAATGGGAAAAACTGAGCCTAAAGGGGTGTGGGAATGGGAAAAACTGAGCCTAAAGGGGTGTGGGAATGGGAAAAACTGAGCCTAAAGGGGTGTGGGAATGGGGAAACTGAGCCTAAAAGGGTTGGGAATGGGAAAAACTGAGCCTAAAGGGATTGGGAATAGGGAAACTGAGCCTAAAAGGGTTGGGAATGGGAAAAACTGAGCCTAAAAGGGATTGGGAATAGGGAAACTGAGCCTAAAAGGGTTGGGAATGGGAAAAACTGAGCCTAAAGGGATTGGGAATAGGGAAACTGAGCCTAAAGGGGTTTGGGAATGGAAAAACCGAGCCTAAAGGGATTGGGATCTGCAGGATGAGAAAAGTGACCCTAAAGGGGATTGAGAATGGGAACAGGACACAGCAGATAAATTATCGTTATTAATAATAAATAATAATAAATAATAATAAATAATAATAATTCTCAATAAATAATTCCATAAATATCAGAGGGGGGGGGGCAGGGAAAGAGTTTGGGGTGGAAAAGAGGGGAGCAGCTCCGGGAATTCCTGCTCCAGTTCTCTGGGAATTTTGGTTCCAGCTCCTCTGGGATTTGCTGCTCCAAACCTCTGGAATTGCTGCTCCAGTTCCTCTGGAATTGCTGCTTCAAATCCCCAGGAATTGCTGCTCCATCCCTCCGGGAATTTTGGCTCCATCCCTCTGGGAATTGCTGCTCCAGTTCCTCTGGAATTTGCTCTTCCAAACTTTTGGGTTTTGCTGCTCCATCCCTCTGGGAATTGTGGCTCCATCCCTCTGGAATTGCTGCTCCAAATCCCTGGGATTTTCTGCTCCAAATCCCTGGAAATTGTGGCTCCAATTCCTCTGGAATTTGCTGTTCCAGCTCTCTGGGATTGGCTCTTCCATCCCTCTGGGAATTGCTGCCCCAAACCCCTGGAATTGTGGCTCCAAATCCCCAGGATCTGCGGCTCCAAACCCCTGGGAACGGGGTCGGGGGGGCGGCAGCGTGGGCAGCACGGACACACGGACACGGGGATGGACACACGGACACAGGGATGGACACACGGACACACAGACACAGGGATGGACACACGGACACACGGACACGGGGATGGACACACGGACACGGGGATGGACACACGGACACGGGGATGGACAAATGGACACGGGGATGGACAAATGGACACACGGACACGGGGATGGACAAATGGACACAGGGACACGGGGATGGACAAATGGACACACGGACACGGGGATGGACACACGGACACGGGGATGGACACACGGACACGGGGATGGACACACGGACAGTCAGACATCCAGGACGTGGTTCAGGTAGGAGATGTAGGAGATGGACACAGGGATGGATGGATGGATGGATGGATGGATGGATGGATGGATGGATGGATGGATGGATGGATGGATGGATGGATGGATGGACACACGGACACACGGATGGACACACAGACACACAGACAGACACACGGACAGTCACATATCCAGGACGTGGTTCAGGTAGGAGATGTAGCAGATGGACACAGGGATGGATGGATGGATGGATGGATGGATGGATGGATGGACACACAGACACAGGGATGGACACACAGATGGACACACGGACATGGGGATGGATGGATGGATGGATGGATGGATGGACACACAGACACAGGGATGGACACAGGGATGGACACACAGACAGACACACGGACAGTCAGACGTCCAGGACGTGGTTCAGGTAGGAGATGTAGCAGATGGACACAGGGATGGATGGATGGATGGATGGATGGATGGATGATGGATGATGGATGGACACACAGACACAGGGATGGACACAGGGATGGACACACGGACAGACACACGGACAGTCAGACGTCCAGGACGTGGTTCAGGTAGGAGATGTAGCAGATGGCGAGGCGCAGGATCTCGATCTTGGAGAGTTTTTTGTCGGGGGGCAGGGTGGGCAGCAGCCGCCGCAGTTCGGCGAACGCCACGTTGAACGCTTCCACGCGGATGCGCTCGCGCGTGGCGTGCGCCGTCCGGTACTTGGCCGTGGCCCGGCGCCTCCTCCGCCGCTCCTCCCGGCTCAGCGGCTCCTTCCGGGCCGGCTCCTCCGCCACCGGCACCGCCACCGGCACCGCCACCGGCACCGGGGCCAGCGCGGCATCGGCGGCGCCCCCAGCGGGGCCGGGCCCCGGGCGAGCCGGGGGAGCGTCGAGAGCGGCGGGCTCCGAGTTGAGCATCATCCTGGCCTCGGGGTTTGGGACAATTCCTGATCGATCCTGGGGGTTTGGGACAATTCCCGATCGATCCCGGGGGTCTGGGACAATTCCTGATCGATCCTGGGGGTCTGGGACAATTCCTGATCGATCCCGGGGGTTTGGGACAATTCCAAACTGATCTCAGGGGTTTGGGACAATTCCCGATCGATCCCGGGCGTTTGGGACAATTCCAAACTGATCTCAGGGGTTTGGGACAATTCCCGATCGATCCCGGGCGTTTGGGACAATTCCTGATCGATCCCAGGGGTTTGGGACAATTCCCGATCGATCCCAGGGGTTTGGGGACAATTCCAAACTGATCTCAGGGGTTTGGGTCAATTCCCGATCGATCCCGGGGGTTTGGGACAATTCCTGATTGATTTCAGAGTTTGGGGACAATTCCTGATTTATCCCAGAGTCTGGGGACAATTCCCAACTGATCCTGGGGTTTGCAGACAATTCCTGATTGATCCCAGAGTTTGGGGACAATTCCAGACTGATCCCGGGATTTGGGGACACCCCAAAGCCGATCCCGATGTTTTGGGATCTGATCCCGATGTTTTGGGGTCACCTCCGCAGGAGAAGTTCCCAAATTTGGGGTTCCCGTCCCTGGATTTGGGGTTCCCGTTCCCAAATTTGGGGTTCCCGTCCCCGGCTCCCAGGCAGGCCCGTGGGGTTTCTCCTCCTCCTCCTCTTCATCACATTCCAGCCGGGATTTGGGGAATTTTCCTCGGGAATTCCGGGGGAAAACTTCGCAGGGAAGAAATCCTGGCACGCAGGGAGAGGAACTCGAGGAGTTTTTCCCGAGGTTTTGGGGTTTTGGGGGTCAGGACGCGGCTCCGGAGCCCTCGGGGGTCAAATCCCGACGGGTCTGGAAAAGAAAAATCGGGAATTAAAAAAAAAAACAAATTAAAATCAAAGAGTTTTTAAAAATTTAAAGGAGTTTTTTATATTTAAAGGGATTTTTAAATACATAAAAGAGGGGTTTTTTCTGTGTTTTTGGGGCTTTTTTGGGGGGTCAGGATTCTGGAATAGAAGGATCGGGAATTTCAGCTCCGGGTGAAAAAGGAGCAGGCGGAGGCATCAAAGTAAAATAATAAAATAAAATTAATTAATTAATAAAATAATAGAAATAGAAACCAAAATAAAGTTTAAAAAGTAAGATCAAATAATGAAACGAAATGAAATGAGATGAAAATTAAAAAAATGAAATGAAATGAAATGAAATGAAATGAAATAAAATAAAATAAAATAAAATAAAATAAAATAAAATAAAATAAAATAAAATAAAATAAAATAAAATAAAATAAAATAAAATGTAAAACCAAGGATTTTCCACAGCTTTTCCCTGTCAGATCCCGGCTACTTTGGGAAACAAACTCAGGGAATTTCAGCTCCTGGATGGAAAAGGATCCACCAGAAAACTCTGGAAGCTCTGGGAATTCTGAAAATTCGGGTGGATCAGGAAATTTGGGAAGCTCAGGAAATTCTGGAAACTCGGGAAATTCAGGAAATCTGGAAAATTCGGGAAGCTGGGGAGGATCGGGAAGCTCCGGAAATTTGGAAATCTCTGGAAATTCGGGAATTCCGGGAAGTTCTGGGGGCTCCTCGGGGGTGGCACCTTCACCATCATCTTCATCATCTTCATCTTCATCTTCATTGTCATCCTCATCATTATCTCTGTCTTCATCTTCATCTTCATCATCATCTTCATCTTGCCATCGTTGTCATCATCCTCATCCTCATCCTCATCCTCATCTTCTTCTTAACCTTCCTCATCTTCATCTCGATCTTCATCTTCCTCCTCATCTTCACCCTCATCATCATCCTCATCTTCTCCATTTTAATTTTCTTCATCCTCATCCTCCTCATCTTCATCCCCGATGCCTTCCCTGGAAATCTGAGAGCGTTCAGGGAAAGGGGAAAAAATCCGGGATGGGAAAAGCGACTGGGAATGAACTGGGAATGAACTGGGAATAGACTGGGAATGAACTGGGAATGAAC